GCCAGAAAACTCCTTTCTAAAACATACTTGATTTGCTCACCTCCAGTGACAGGGAATCCACCACCATGCTGAAAGATCCATTCTATATTTAGATGATTCTAGTTTTAACAGTTTTTTATAAGTTATTATATTGAACCAAAATTGATGTCTGTCAATTTTAGGGTGGTTTTGTCAATAACACTGAAACGTCTTGCAGCAGGGACTTGAGACCCTATTCTTCACTCTGTCACTCTGACCAAGTCACATGACGAGCCACAGGCTCACTTTTACCAGCTAAAGACCAGGAAGAAAGTGTACACATGAGAATTGTGAGGGTTGGATTTAGATGATACTTCGTGGGTACCCACCTAGTGTGTGCTCAGGTATAGCTCTCGTCATCCCTGACCCTCAGATTTTGCCTATGTGTCTTCAGTTGTTAGAACAACATAACCATTTGCCTATGTCCAGTCTTCTCCTCCATTCCTGCTTAGCGGGCTTGCTTTTGAGTCCCCCTTGAGCATCATCATCCAGTTACAGTTTGTAAATGTCCGTCTTACCAGAAGAGACTGGGGTTGTCCAGCTGTGGCCTGGCCAGAACAGCATGAATGAAGTCATTACTTCCTTTAGACTACCCCTCCACATTGAGAGGTTGTGTTCCAAATTTTCATAACCACATCATGCCCTTGACTCTCATTAAGCTTAGGGTCAGCTCACACACAGACATTTCAGCTCAACTGCAGGAGGCAGAGGGGAGGAAAAGCAGCCAATGGGAACATTTCTGTGCTGCCACTCTTCCTTTTCTCCATCTCAGAGCACCCTTAGAAGTTAGGTCTCTGTCCGATAACCGTGACAACAGCTGATTGGGTAATGATGCTGGGAACAGAATGGTGGGTCAAAGGTTCTACAATTCCCGGAGAAGTGGCCTCGGGTCCAACCCCTTACTCCTCCACAAGCCATCACTGTCTCATTCTTGCTTGCTAATACATGATAAATTCATATATGGTGTCCCTTCTTCACCTCTTGCCTCCTATCCCAGTGGGCCTGAGTCCTGATTCCAATGAGGAAGACTTCATTTCCGGTATTTTAGAAAAGTGGTCATTCTGACCTATGATTTCCCCTCTAGGGAAAGCTTGAAGCATGCCTGGCCTTTGATTTATGCGTCTCCACTCCCTACGATTTATTGCCCAGTACTCTTGCCTTTGGTCTCGCTCACCCCTCCTCCTCTCCCACCCCAGAGCATTTCCAGCCCATCTCTTCATACCTTTCCCTTCTGAATCATCCTGTCTTCCTTGTCTAAATGCAAATGCTGGTTTACAGTACTTGTGAATGCCTCTGATAATTGTTCCATTACAGCCTCACAGTCCTATAAAATAAATATCTCTATGTTTTACAAGTTAGGAAACTGAGGCTCAAGGAGGAGACGTGACAGACTGGGCTGCAAAGTCTGTGTCTTTCCTACTCTCAATGCTTCTTTGAATCATGGCTAACATTTAGTTAGAGCTGATCTATTACCCATGTTATCTTGCTAATAACACATTTTAATGATGTGGGAACGTGGTTAGTGGCATTGAAGAACTTGCTCATGATCTACTTAGCTGTTCAGTTAGAGAGTGAAGACTTGAATTAGGGACCCCAGAGCTAAACTCTCCATCTTGACTCTATGCAATCAGAAACCGTGGTTCTAGATTTGTCTGTTATTAAACTGAGGCATTCCTTTGAGGCAAGTACCTTTCTCATTCCAGACCTGTTTCCCCATCCTTATGAAAGAAGGCTTTGCCTAGCTGTGTTCCAAGATTCTGTTTTTTTTTTTTTTTATGAGATGTTGATGGATATTTATTTATTTATTTATTTGTGGTGCTGAGAATCGAACCCAGTGCCTCACACATGCTAGGCAAGTGCTCTACCATTGAGCCACAAACCCAGTTGCCCTAAAATTCTTTCTGAGGAAATGGCTAGGCCTTTGGAGGCAAAGCATGTTGGAAGAATGCCCTTTCCAATCTCATGTTGTACTTGTTGATTATTTTTGTGAATGCCAGCCCATGGCTCCCTGCTGCCCAAAGGAGAAAATCCAAGTCCTTCAGCATAGCATTGAAAGGTCTGGATGGTTTAATCTCTGCCAAGCTCACTGGCCTCCTACCTGTTCACTGCCCCAGCCATTTCTATTAACTGATGGTTTATGCTCTCTCTGGTATAAATTGGAATGATCTATTGCCTCTGCATTTCTATCCATCTGAAACATTTGTTCATTATTGAAGACCTAGCTGAGCCTTTATACTATTTGGGAAGACTTTTCTGATACCCTGAATTGATAACTAGGTATCCATCTCATATACTCCAGTGGTACCTCCCCTGTTTTCCAACCCAGGCTCCTGCCACTGCCTTATTCAGACACATAAGGCATAAACCAGTTCATCTCTGTCCCAATGCCTGGTATACAAAGAGCACCCAGTAACACAAGGGTGCTACGTAGTGAGGACTCTGGAGATGATAATTTCTAGTGCTTACCATGTAAGCTTTTCTGAGCTTACCATGGGACAATTTTTTAAGAGTTTTACATCTATTAACTTGCCTAACCCTCTCCATTACCCTCTGAGGTGAGTACTATGCTATTCCCTTTTCATAAATGTGAAAACACATAAGCAGCTTTTTACTAACACAGAGAGAAAAATGTAACCCATAACCCTAAGGGAAGTTATGATTCCCATTTTAAAGAAAAGGCAAGGCTACAGAGGCACAAGTGGTGAAGCAGTTCACTCAATATAATAACATAGCTGGCAAGTGGCTGAGCTGGGATTTGAACTTGAGCCTAAAGGTGCGCCACTCACTACCTGCTAGGTCAGAGATAATATCGGCACTTGAGGGAACACCAACGCCTGGCTCCTCCTTCTGCTGTTTTTCATGCAGTCCCTGCTTGTGCACTGTGTCCCAGCCACAGAGTCTCAGAACTTCTGTGCAGTCTCTTAGCTCTATGCCTTTGCCAGTGCTGCCTGCTAGGTCTTTGACCATTTCTCTATCTAACTCCTATTCATTTATGAGGTTCAGCACAATTTCCCCTTCAACTAGGAAGTTTTCTTCAGCATCCCCAATCCTATGTCTTCAGAAGCCTACTGTGACCTTTTTTTTCCCCAGTCAACACTCTTGTCTCCTATACTGTCGTCTCCACTCATCTGTCTTTCCGAATCCTGCCAAACGGAAGTTCTGTCGCATAATACATGCTCAGTTAATGAGGAGGTCTCACACTGTCTCCTTGAACTTCACAGGAGCTCCATTTTTTCAAAGAGGCCGGTTTAGAGATGTTCAGTAAAATTTCCAAGAACAGAGTAAGAACTCAAACAAAGAGAGATGAGAAATAAACTCCTCAGCTCCTCCTGGGGGAGCAGAGTATGCTTGCCCGAGAGGAGGGCGGGGGGATGTGGATAGAGTGTGATTATGAAGTGGTGAATTCTTGGCACCTCAGGAAATATTCCACCCAAGTGGTGAACTATACAAAGAGGACTTTTTGAAAGGCACCTCATAAATCGTGCCCACAAAACATAACACATAAGCCCAGTCCTTTTTTCAGCCACCGCACAGGTGCCTAACACAGTCTCCCATTTGTGGGGTCTGTTGTCGTAAAACTCCTTCCCTCCTGGGGTCCCAGAAGGGCATGCAGAGGGCAGCAGGAGAGAGAGCCTCTCCTTTAGCGTCACAGGATCCCCGGGCATCTTGAAGATGCCGGAAGGCAGAGAAGGTGAGGCACCCACCTGGACAGTGGAGCTGACTTGTAGTGTGACCTGGAAAAGGACATTCTATGCCCTCTCTAAGTCTCAGTTCCCATATTTTAATGAGAAGAGGTCAATGATCCCCAATTGGGGTGATTATGCCCTCCTGCAAAAGACATTTGGCAATGTCTGGAGCCGATTGCATTTTCCTGACTGGCATGGGACTGTTATCTGGCGTATGAGGCCCCAGTACGCTATAAATATCCTACATAATTCCTCCTATACACCTGCCTTCCAGTGCCACGGTTAAGAAATCCTTGACCAGGTGATCTCAAAGATCCTTCCTTGCTTTGACCACCAGCCATGAGATCTTGTGGATCCTCTTTCTAGTGCATGATAAAAGGTTCCAGATAAAGTTCCTAATGATGACACCAGAGTACAGAATGGTTCTTGCTAAGATGAGCCTTCAGTCTGTCCTTGATCCTGGGCCATCCATCTATAATCATCTTTATAACGGTAGCCCCCAGGGAAGCTGAGTCACAAGCATGGGGCCCTTCTCCTATGCAATCTCACCCAGCCAATTTGTAAGAGTGAGACTGTCATCGATATTTTAGAGATGGGGAAAATGGAGCACAGAGAAGCTATGATTTGGGTACATTTGTATTTCTTTAGCCTATGATGAGAGACAAGCACAGAGGGTAAGATTTCCAAATTTGTGACTGCAAGAAAGTGATGTGAGAATGAGAGAAGCAATAAAGTAAATAGTTGGAGAAAGAACACATGGATTCAGGCCTAGATTCCACTGCCCAACTCCAATTGTCCCCTTGGTATTTGGCCTTGGTCAAATAAAGTCACTTCTCCTTACCTGTTAAATAGGAGTAAAGAGAACAGATTTTCACGACTGATGTGAAGATCAAATACAAGCTTTAAAACACACGTAAAGTACAGACTCGGTGTCCAACACATGATCAATGACAAAGTTTAGTTATTTGTTGCGGGGTTTTGCCATCAATGTAATAATTTCTCTTTGGCTAAAGTCCTAAAATTTGTGTCCTTCTAATTTCTGGGGGTCCCCTATTCTTGAGATGAAAGTACTGGTTCAAAAATGAAAATATCACTTTCATTTTTTAGGCTTGCAAACCGAGGAGGGTATGTTGTAAGGTGATTTTTTAATAGGTGTTTAAAAAAATATCACACTTAGGAAGTCATCAGGGCAAGATGTCTTCATGTGACTGTTGACCTTTATTTGCCACTTCAAAGGCCTCACAGCCCCTGCTCTGGACTTCTTCCTTAACCGTTGCTCTCTCCTTGAATTTTCAGGAAGGCCCACCTGATCCTGCGGCGGCTGGAGAGGGTGAGCAGCCACTGCTCCAGCCTCCTGAGAAGCGCCTACATCCAGAGCCGCGTGGACACGGTGCCCTACCTTTTCTGCCGAAGTGAGGAGGTCCGGCCTGCGGGCATGGTGTGGTACAGCGTCCTCAAGGACACCAAAATCACTTGCGAGGAGAAGATGGTGTCCATGGCCCGAAACACGTACGGGGAGTCCAAGGGCCGGTGAGGGAGGGCGCTGCCCTCCACGAGCACAGAGACTCTCCTAGGGGGAGCAGTACTCTTGTGGATGGATCCTGGGGCCTGGGTGGGCTGGGGGACAGCTGAGGATGGGCCTGGCAGAGGACACTCGCCAGCAAGGCTAAAGCAGACTGCTCCTCCTGTGGATCGTGGACAGAGAACTTTGTAACCAATGGAATTATTCATTTTCTCTATCTTTTATTTTTTTCTAAGATATTATTTGACTCTATCAAACGTCTCTCCTTTTTAAAACTTTTCTTATGGATGGAAGTCATTTGGGTGGCAGGAGCCTTCAGGTGGAGACCAAGCGGCCTTTCCTTTTCTTCCTCCTTCCTGCCGTGCCCAGCTTCCTTCCTGCCACGGAGCCCTGGAGGAGACCTATGGAGAGACAGTTTGACCTCTTCGGCATCAGGAAGGAAGCCCTAAGGATTGTTGCAGTGAGGAAGCTTGGGTCTTTAAGGACTTCTCTCTCTCTCTCTCTCTCTCTCTTTTTTTTTCTGGACATTACTGAGTTTGCAGGACCTCTGCTTCTTCCTGTCTGCCCAGAGTCCCTGCAGGACTTTCTGTGCATTAAAAAATTCCTATTGTCTCTCTTTCTGCTTGGGTGCTGTTTCTTACTACTAATGAAGTGTGTTTGTAGGACTTCTGTTTATTCACTAAACAGATGTTTACTGAGTAGATACTATGTGCTGGGCATAGGACAAGCAACTGAAGACTGAGGAGTTCTGTGTACTCAGGGAACATAGGGTCTAGTAGTTATTAGAGAGAAGCAATCTGGCGATTTCAGACTGTACCAGAGGGAAGAATGGAGGTTCTCTGAACTCCTTGATGGGTCATGAGACCCACTGGTGGGATGCTGAGAAACGCTTCCTGTGAAACCTAAGCCCTCAGAACGAGGAGAAGGGGAGGAATAACCCAGACAAAGCTGGGAAGGATGGGATTCGCTACACGGTGAGAGAAAACAGAAAGTCTAACTCATTGAAGGTTTGGAGCACTTTCATTTAGGACATGGGTTGAAGTAGGAAGCGGCAAGAGGAGTAGCTAGGAGCTCAGCAGAGCATCTAGTCTTGAACAAGAAGTTTGACATTATCTTGAAGTCGCCTGGAGCCACTGAAGGACTTTACCAAGAGTAAAACAGTTCACTTACTCTTTAACAAAAATTGCTCCAGCTACAGTGTGGAAGATGGATGGGAGAAGGCCCCAAAGAGAGGGTGACCACTGTCATTTTCCATTCTGATGGCAGAATGGACCCTGTGGTCATGTGGGAGATGTTCCAACACTGGGCTTTCCTTTTATTTATTTATGTTTAGACTGCTTTATTGAGGCATAATTGGAATTTCCTTTTAAATGGCGATCGGGCTGTCACCCACGTGTTCCCTGGGAGGGTAATAGGGACAAGGAGGAATTTTGAATTCTCAACGCCATGGTATTAGCACAGACGAGCCACCTGGCTGGAGGAAATGAGATGTGGATCAGGTATATTATAAGGCGATGATGACACGTGTTAGGAGAGTAGAGACTGTGGAGATTCAGAGGGGGAAAGAATACCGAATATCAGTCAAATACAAACTGTCAAAAGGGCCTACTGCTGAGCGTTAATAAGTATAGATGAGATCCGCTATCTCTTTCCTGAAAACCTACATGCTGAGGTTTGTTTCTGCAGTAATCTGATCCACAAGAGGCAAATGAGGAATCTGAATGAAAAGAAAGCAGAGATTCATTCTTCCAGACAACTTAGGTGCCTGCAGAGCTGCCTCATCTACAACCATCTAATCTATGGGTGCTCTTTTAAGTCATCTTATATTATTGGGTTTATGTTTCTACAAAATACAGCTGGAGTTTAGACACCTTCTATGTTGTTGATGTCTCCTCTCTTCCCAGGGATAGTATGTTCCAAGAGGAACTAACATTTTACCAGAAAATGAAAATGAGAAGTAATATTCACCATTCATTGAGAACTTGCCATGTGACAAGCCCCGTTCCGAGTGCCTCTGATGTACATCCTTCCCTGAATCCTGGGTCCCAGGCCTTTGCTGAGCCAATCCATTGCTACAGCTTTCCATTTGCTTGGCTCAACCTGAGGAAAATTTTAGCTAAATCATTGCAGAAAATAAAACTGCCCCAAACGCTGGTGATCTGAGCCTGTTTATTGGCTATTGATTTTAGGTAAGGAGCTTGACATCTTAACAGTTTTCTCACCAACAAAATGGGGTCAATGATAGTCCGGCTCTTGGTGGGATTGTTGTGCATCTCGAGATATTTGGTCAGGATATGTCCAACCCAATATCTAATAGCATGCTCTAGATGGGATTGCTTTCTCCTACTAGAGAAAATATCCACCATGTTATGAATCGTAGGGAGATAACTAAGAAAGTGTATCTGGGAAAGTCAAGAGAATTTGGAGTAAGAGGAGGAATTAATGACTAACAGCTCTGTGAGATATTAATCATAAGTAATATAAAACTTTAACTAAAAAGAAAAATGGTCATAAAGTGGATCTTAATGCAACAGCAAGCTGTCCAAGAAGAAGTGTATGATTTTTCCTGAAGCTCTCAGAGACAGAGGTGGTCCTTGAGAATATCTGCCATCCAGCTGTCCACACTCATTCTCCATCCACACCCCTTTCTGGTTTCAGCTTCCTTTTCCTGGCACTGTAGTCCTGCCCCTGCGTGCACGCACGCATGCTCACATGCTTGGACACTGCCATCAAAGGGAGTTAGATCAATATTTGTAAAAAATGTTTTCCCAGAAAAAGAAAGAAAAAAATCTTGAAGAGCAAAGGAGGCTTCTAGGTCTGGGGCCCTGGCCAATGCAGGGTGAGGACTGATCATTGATTCATGTGCTGCCTCAGAAAACACCAGGGCAGCTCATGTCCCAAGGTGCTGGCAAGGATGGGACTTCTCGTGTGGTCTCCACCATCAAGTAAATAAGTTGTGAACTTATGGAGCTGTATGTGCACCCCTAGGCGCACAAGAAGTCACCCTTAAATGAATCCTTTTCTTCAGCCTTGTTTATGTGTGTGTGTGTGTGTGTGTGTGTGTGTGTGTGTGTGTGGTGTGTGTGTGTGTATGTGTGTGAGAGATTGAACCCAGGACCTCATGCATGGTGTGTAAGTGCTCTACCACCAAGTTATATCCCCAAGCCCAACCCCTTCTCCTGTATGGTCAAGAAATATCTCCTCCAGGCAAGCTTCATTGCAGAGACAAATGCCAATAACTATTCTTTTTTTTTATTAGTTGTTCAAAACATTACAAAGCTCTTGACATATCATATTTCATACATTTGATTCAAGTGGGTTATGAACTCCCATTTTTACCCTGTGACTTATTTACACAGGAAATGAGAGGTGTAATGAATTCTGTCATTGGAAGGCAAGCAGTCATCAGGAAAACCTTCACAGTGGAAGGATGTATGAGAATTAAGAAAGTACAGCAGTCAAGACAGGGCCTGTGGGCAGACAGACTAGACCCGTATACAGATTGCCAGCTATTCCCCTTCTCGGACTATTCCTTAAAGACCTTAAAAGAGCGTACTATAGGGATACTGCTACATCAATGTTCATAGCAGCACAATTCACAATAGCTAGTCTGTGGAACCAACCTAGATGCCCTTCAATAGATGAATGGATAAAAAAAAAATGTGGCATTTATACACAATGGAGTATTACTCAGCACTAAAAAATGACAAAAATCATGGCATTTCCAGGGAAATGGATGGCACTAGAGCAGACTAAGCTAAGTGAAGCTAGCCAATCCCAATAACTATTCTTTAGGGAATCCTCGTTATATCAATGGCTCTACAATGCTTATCTCATTTAACCATGTGCAAAACAACCATGTGCTGTTGTGATCACAACTTGAAAAACGGAGATTTAGGCAAATTGAATCACCTGCCCCAAATCCTATAGCTCATAAAGAATGATTTTTGAGTTAATGAAATCTAAACTTGGGCACACAAAGGAATTCCAAACTATGAGCTCTGTACTTATTTCTTCCCAGGCAAATGGATACAATACTCCCATTCTTCATCTTTAGTCAAAAGCTAAGTTTAACTTCAAACAAATACCTGAGTATTAATTTCCAGGTTTGGGATATTGAGGTGAAGAAGACTTAGTTTCTACCCTTAGGGAACTCCCAGAATTTGGTTAACTAAATATAATGTGATTAGATCAGACACTTTGGAGTCAAGCCAACCTGAGTTTAAATATTGGCTGTGTTATTTACAGTGAGGAGGGGCTGGACACTGAGAGAAACTGGGAAGGAGAAAAACTATGGTCTTGCTAGGAAGCTCAGCTTAGCACATATCAATTTAAGTGCTCTGAATCTCACTGTCCTCATCTGTGGAAGGGATAAATACACCCCTTCAAAAGACTGTTGGGAAGATTAAATTAGATAATGCATATAGAGCCATCTGGTGCTTCACAGCAAAAGTTCTCAGTAAATATCTATGATAGCTATGATAATGACTTATTTACACAGGAAATGGAAGGTGTAATGAATTCTGTCATTGGAAGGCAAGCAGTCATCAGGAAAACCTTCACATTGGAAGGATGTGTGAGAATTAAGAAAGTACAGCAGTCAAGAAAGGGCCTGTGGGCAGACAGACCAGCACATCAGTACGAGTGTATCCTGTTTGAGGGACAATGAGCAAGTGTGTGGGTTACAACATGAAGAGGCTGTCAGAGTGATATCCTACTGGTCATTGAAAGAAGAGGTGTGATGTAGCTAGATAAGCATTTTGGAAAGAACTTTTTGTTCCATAATAGCTAATAGAAGGAAGAGAGACACGGGACTAGATTGAAGACTGTAGGAATTTTTAGAAGGGAGATGGGAGGGCTGGGCTAGGGTCATTGCAAGGTAAGGCTCCATCTGAGAGGTCTCCAAGAAGTTGATTCAATAAGGCTTGTTAACTAACTGGCCTGGTGACTTGGGTTTTCTCTTTTCCACTGTTTAAGTGTTAGACTGGGCAGAACTAGCTGGGGCATGAAGTGGACGATGAATCACATGGGTTTAATGGGCAGTGCATAGATGAGGCATGGTTTGCAGGTATAATAACTGGAAAGTCAAAGAGCCAAGAATATCATTGGCTTTATGTGGAAACCATGCATGGACTTGTGTGTAACCACGCACAGTTATGCCGAAGAAGAGTGAACCACTGGACTTAGGCAAGGAGTCCTCCTCCTCCCTCTCCTTCACCACCATTACCCCTCCCTTCCTTTCATCATCATCTTCATCATCAGTATCCTTATCTTTATCAATATCATCAATTCATTTCTTAGTGGGTATTAGATCTTTTTACATAAGTATTATTTGATATACTTCTCCCAACTCTGTGATGTATAAATTATCATCCCCCTTTTATTGATGAAATAAGCGAACCCCAGAGAATTTAAGAAATTTCCTAGTCTCAGGCAGTTAGTATGTGACAGAGCCAAGTTCCATTCCAGATCTCACTGACACCAGCATTTTTACTACAATGTTTCATCTTGAGCTGGAGAGCTCTGGGTTCTAATCTTGCCTCTGACATCAGTGGCTGTATGACTTGGAGCAGGCCGTTCACCCTCTCTGGGTTCTGAGTTCCCCACAAACCCCCA